CCTTTTTGAGGCAGTGTTGATGACTAAGTATTGACTTTGCTAGACTTTTTCCAGCATTTCTATATTCAGCACATTTATATACATGAAAATCTTCCTATATACACACATCAGGTTTTCATAAATGAGACCTTCCAATGGTAATGGTGACTACATCTTTTCTCAGTATGTTTGGGGAGATATACGTCCATTTCTATATTTAGACTGTAGCATTCTGTTCAGTAGATTCAGTGAACTCCATAGCATGAATGCCTCTTAATGTTAAAAATCACTTGCGTTTGACATAGTAGTTAGGACACTTCTTGGGTTACCCCTACATTAATATTGGAGCACCGGTTAAAATCCTGGATCGTAATACCCCAGATTGCAGCTTCATGCTAACATGTACTCAGGAAGACTAGGCCTGAGTTAGTCGAATTCCTGCTAGCCAAGTGGGGGAGGGACTCACAGTGGGGTCCAGGCTCCTAGGTTGGGTTGTCTCACCCATGCAGAAAGCATGTTGGAGTAAACCAGCAGATGGGAGCTCTCTGTCACTGGTCTGTCCCTCTGTAGTCATATCATTCAGATAAAAATATATCCACTAGAGGGCACTTGAGATGACCCTGCCCTGTGTGATCTGTGAGCACAGATCATTGTGCACCTACAGGTGTCTGTGTGCAGGCCGGAGTCCAAGAAATGGGCTCATTGGTCGAAGTGCATGTTTGAAATGTCTTGATAAACATTCCCACGCGTACGGATCATTACAAGGGCGTTTTCTCACGTTTTCGGGCTGATGGAAATACTTGAAGTAGTGGAAGTTTTAGACCTGATCCTCCATGTGGAGAAGGCTTTAGTTTCCTGACTTCCAACCGAACAGTGTTTAGTCCCTGGCCTGAGACAAGGAAATACAGCAAGGGCTTCTGTTTGTCTTTCCCTCGCTTTTCCTCTGGAGGTTTCCAACCAGAAGGCAGGACTCTGCCCTCGAGGAGTGCTCCCCATGGACTCACCTGGCTCGCAGAAGGGGCACCTTTTGGTACTCATGTTGGATAAACGCACACATACAGAAGATACTTGTGTGTGTGATTAGAAACAAGTGCAAAAAAATGCTCATTACAAAAAGTATGTTTTAAATGCAGGAACATATTCAGAACATTATGAGCTATGGTTTCATAACCAGAGATAATAAATTTTAATACTTTAGCTTATATTCCATGAGATACATATCTTTTTAAAAGTGAAGTTGGGCTTTACAGTGTTATAACATCTTGCAGTCTGTTTTGTTTTCCACACCTGAACTTCGTACTGTAGTTATATGCAGTCTCTTCAATGTTTGGTTTAGAGAAATTGAGACTTTCAACTAGCTCAGAAGTTATAAAGATGGTCTCTGTTGCTTCAAATTCAAATATTTATGACCCAATCCAGACCAATTAAAACTGTTTACATTTTGTTATTTTAATAGTTATTTAGTGCTTACCATATACCAAGTGATTTTTGCAGTGCTTGTGCTGTGGAAATGGTATTCGCAATTGTCAGGACTATCTTGAGAGACAGGTGTTATGATGAGCATTTGGTAAAATGGAGGAGTGCCATTCAGAGAGGGCAATTTCCAGAAGGATACGAGGTTGTCAAATGGTGGGGTTTGTATTAGAAACCAGCTTTGCTTATAAAACTACCATATTTAAACCTGCCTTGCTGTCTGGATAACAATATTTATGTGTCCCTTCCTCTTCTCGCTGCTGTTGTGTGTTCCCAATTTGACTGGAAGTAATCTCCAGGGGGAATTTAGAAGCATAGGTTAACTTTTTCTACTTACCTGCGTGCAGCTACAACTCTTACCCTTCTTTGTTGGAAATGGGTGTTTTGGGAGAGAGCAGAGAAGCCATTGTGACAGCTGAAACTTGAGTGCCATCTACTGGTTATAGGATTTTATGCATTTTTATAGTAGGTGGATTGTCTGCATTAAAAATCAGTGAACACATCCTCCAGGCCATAACCAGGGAGCTCAATAGGAAGTGGAGCAACTGGGACATGAACCTGTGATCATATGGGATGTCAGTGGCATAGGTAGAGAATTTGTCTGTTATGCCACCGTGTCAGCCCTCGCATAACTATTTTAAAGCAAGTTTATTCCAAGAAATAAATCCGAACAAATACCAACAGCTTACATGCTTTCATTCTGTTAGCAATATGCAGGAAAGTGATTAAATACCTTGCAGAAATTCTATAAAAAGAGCCTTGTCCTTCTGGTAGGCTTGTCTCCAGCATGTTGTACATGGCCAAGGGTCCAGCAATGGTCATGGGGCCTGTGACAAGGAGAGAGGGGATGGATTAGCAACTTCCACAGTATCAAAGATACAATATCTTGCTAATACTTACGAAATATATCTTGTATGATTTCAGCCAGTAAAGATAACACTGGCTTCAACCAGCTACCATTTTATGTTTGGGATACCCATAAGCCAGTATTTTAGTTATAACCTTCTGGAAGTTTCCTTGGTATAAATTGCATCCCCCAAGGTAAGATTGCCATTTCCTTAGCTGTCCTTGCTCAGCTCTAGGAGCTGAGGTTGTTCAATGCTGAAGCAATCGCTCAGAAAATATCAAGCTCCCAGAGAATGATTTCCCAGGGTCAGAATCTTGGACATATTTTGATATGCTCACAGCATTCCTGCTTTAGTCCCATCAGCTTAGAATGTACTCTTCCAGTTTTAATATGAGCACAGCTTTTTAATCAGCCTTTGTGTGTGTGTGTGTGTGAGTGAGAGAAAGAATTCTAAATGTCACTTGTGTTGTGGAGATCACATCTTGGGTGATTCTGTTGGGCTCTTTCTGGAAACATTGCTGCTTTCCAGGGAGTGAACAATTCTCAAATAGCCCAGTTATCAGAGAATTTCCTTTGACATGTTCACTCCTTTTAGCTCTCTTTTCCTGTGGTAAGGGGTATTGATTGATCCACAGCCCACATTAATTCACGACCTTATCATTCCTGATAAAGTTGACTGTGACCTCAGTATCAGCTCAGTCCTTTACCTCACTCTGCGTGTATTCATCTATTCAACTAACACTGAAGGGTCAACAAATGCCAGGTTGTGTCCTGTGTACTGGCAATACAAAGCTGTAAGTGACAGAGCTAGATCTGAAGTGGGACAGCCAGGACTCTAAGTCCAGGGCCCAGCCACAGGGAGCTTACACTGTAGTGAAGGATGGGAGAGTGAGAATAAACACATGGAAACAGGAACAAGCAGGACATCAGAGGTTGAGATGGGTGATGACTGGATCAGAACTGAGGCCTGCGACAGATGGACTTGGATGTGGGTCAGCCATTGTAGACCAGATGAAGACCTACCGGTAGCAGGAAGTAAAATTGGAACTGGGACCCACTGAATCCACCCAGGAGCCATGTCATTACTCACTCATTTCCATACACATTCAGCAATATGAGCTCCACCAACATTCAACCGTGTGACTTCTCAGCCTCAGGAGATGAAGATCATACCATGAGGGGGTCTTATTAGGAAATAGGATTGGCACATCATGCCTCAGTGCAGCCCAGCTTAACCTGCCAGTGTCATTCCCAAGAGGCCATTTGTCAGGGAGGAGACCTTGAGAAGTAATGGGTCTTTAATTAGGGCTGTTTCAAGTGTTTCAAGTGCTAGACTCTCAAACCTTGGAAGAACGCTGATCAGTGAAGCTTTTTTGTAGGTGTGTACCACCAAAAACACTATGCCCAATTGATATGTTGGAGTTGCTCCGTAATTATTAGGAAGTATGTGTGTGTTTTAATGAATAAATTGACGCAACTATGTAGTTATGGATGAGATTCCTTCTCCCTCCATGACCATCTATTTGGTTGAAGTTTTTGCCTTAATTCCTTTAATACATTCCTACAGCTTCTCCATCCCAGTCCTGCTCCATGGTCATATGAATACAGAAAGACAAGTTCACATGACTTGACAGGAAGGGTACTTGGTGGAAGATTTGTAAATTGCTGTCCTTTACGCTTAATAGATTGATGTGATTATTTATGCTCATGCTAGGCTAGTAGGTGTGCATCTAAAGGAAATGTGGGGCTCAGCTTCTCAAAAGAAGTTCTGTGTAGTGACTAAGGCTGCAGGTGCTCAGGAAATCCCATAAAGTCTCGGGAAATTCTAAATAGCCACACGCACGTCTATCCTGATGGAGAGAGTGGCATACCAGTACTTTGCTCTTGTTGTCTCTCATTTTGCGTTATTAAATCTTGCATAGGATGATTGCTGAGTAACAAAGATGGCATTTTGATACTTGCCAATTCACATTGACAATATGTTGAATGGCAAATGTGTTCAAGAGGTGGGTGTTGTGGTACAGCAAGTTAAAACATACTTGGGACGGCTGTATCCTTTATTGGAGTGCCAGGGATTATGCCTTGCCTCTACCTCTGATGCAGCTTCCTGCTCACACTGCCTTTGGGAGGCAACAGGTGATGGCGCAGGTACACAGGTCCCTGAGGCCCCTGTGAGATCTCTGGATTCCTGTCTTCAGCCTGATCCAGCCACAATTGCATGGGCATTTCGGAAGTAAGCCAGTAGATGGAAGATAATCATATCCTCTTCTCATGTGCACACACTACTTGCTTGTTCCCCTTGTGACTCTACCTTTTCCCTAAAGGTTTATTTTATTTGAAACCCAGATTTATAGAGGAAGAAACAGAGGACTTCATTTGTCTGTTCACTCCCCAAATGGCCACAGCTACCATGACTGGGTCAGGAGATTCTTCAGGGTCTCCTACATGGAAGCATGGCCCAAGTTCTTGGTCCCCTATGCACTGTTTTCACCAGGTCATTATTAGGGAGCTTGATCAAAAGTGCAACAACCAGGACTCCAAAAGCTGCCCATATGGGATGCTGATGTCGATGGTGTCTATAACTGCAGTGCCACAACACTGGTCCCTCTTCTGCCTTGCAAAATAAATACTAAAATGATCTTCAAAAATGTATGTCTAAATCCTAATGCCTGGAATGTGTGAATATTACCTTATTTTGTAGGAGTCAATGTTGCCTTATATGGATGTCAGGAGGAGGAGTTTATCCTGAATTGTCTGGGAGCACATTAAAAGTGGTTGCATGTGTTGTGATAAATGGAGCGGAACAGAAGAACATGAGGCTGTCGGACCTGGGAGCCCAAGACTGCAATGACACAACCACAAACCAAAGAACATCTGGAGCCATCGGCAGCTGGAGAGGTAAGGCAGGGACTCTGTCCCTGGAGATTTGAAGCCTGGCTGACTCCTTGGTTTTGAGCGTCTGACCTCTGGAGCTGTGGTAAGTCATCTTGTTGGCGTAACTTTGTTACAACAGGTCTAGGAAGTGAGGGAGACACCATGTGGTAAGATCTCTTAAAGAACGTGAAAGACCTCATAGTATGCAGAAGCCTGAGACCTACAGATTGTGTTAATGCCTGTTCAGTTCTTTCATGGGTTAAAGTATGTTGTGAACCACCAAGATTGTAGCATTTCTCCGTGTCCTTAATCGGTCACTTTTCCACCACGGAGCATATATTAATGCATTTCACCATACTCTAATGTTCTACAGCACGGAGTTCTGTACTACTAAAGGCTCCTTTGCAATGGGACACAGTAAGGATGTTGGGACAAGGTGGAGAAGGGCATTGTTCTTGTACAATGCGCACAGGAAACCACTGTGAGCAGAAGAAAATGCTTTTGCAAATATCTGGTGTTTGCTTGGCACAGCTTCTGTTGGATTAAGCTTTGCAAAATATTCCACAGCTTTTGTTTTCTTGATTGCTATGGAGTCGGTTAACTTCTCAAGACAAGCTGGGGCTGGGCCTGTGGGAAACAATTGGGGAATTAAGTGACTGCTTGGCCACAGGTAGAAGGGAATGGCTGGCTCAAGATGTTATTTGGAACAATAATATTCATATTTTGTGCACGCCCTCCTGCTCCCTCTACTATTTGTCTTCCTGTGTTAGTCTCTTGGAATTTTTTGCCAATGTAAGAACCCAGTGTTTATTGGGGGCATTTTGGTTTGATGATGTGAAAGTAATGGCAATTGCATTTGTTTTGGCAATGCTATGTGTGCCTGAGGCAGGGAGGGGAAAATCGGGAAGCCAAACAATTATGCATTGCACATGAATAAATACGGCTAATAGAAAAGATCTGGAGGGAAGTGTGGGTTTCAAATATAAGGGAAAAGTAATATCTTTGCAGGTTCTGATTTGAAGTTTGGTGTGTTTTCCAAACTGTAGAGGATATTTAGGAAAACATGAGCCAATCTCCTGCAAACTTTCAGGTAGGAAAAGAAAATTTTTAAGTAGCTTCAACTGATGGACCTTGACAATGGTAAGAAGAAATTCCAGAAATGTTTTTTGCCAATAACTCAAGTCTAAGGATTTAGCGTTCACCCCTGCAGGGTTATTTTTCCTTGAAGCTGTCAACTGTGCATCACTGCCATGGTTGTTTGCCTTTATTTGATGGTACCCACAACATGCTTATTTCCCCAGCATGCTATACCTTCTGCAGTGGTTGGCTCCTTTGCCTTTAAGTGCTGCCTCCTCTTACCTGATTCCCACATGGACGGACCTGTCCTGGAAATGGTTAGTTCAAACTGGCGTGTACATTTGGTTGAGATCAAATGTTTCAATGGGAAACAACCAGAGTGGTCTGGATTCTGTATAGAGGTATAGAGAACAAAATCTTGGGGTACCGTGTTCTAAACGCATCTTCTGAGCCTTGGGAGATGCTGCTTGACATGTGCCTACCATTTCATTCTGTCTTCTCTGGACAGCTTTATTGGCTTTGCCTTCCACCTTCAGAGTGTCTGAGCAGCAAATAGAATCCTACTGTACCACATAACCTACTAACCCAGTGCAGAACAAATGTTGGATGCAAACTCTGAAGAGCCTTGAGCTGTTACCCTGTTTGTAAGCTAACAAGCCAGCCTTCAACAATGTGTGTTTACATACACACATATGTGTGTGTGTGTGTAGGCATGTGTGTAATACCTCTGTATTACCTACATATACAATCTTACGGAAGCTGTTTCCCCATGTTCTATCTTCTGACAAAGCAACATAGCGAGCACGTGGTGTTAGCTGCATGTGCGGCATCCTAGGTGCTGCAGAAGAGGAAGCATGGAATGGTGACACTTGCAGCTACTGGAGCGGCTAACACTTGCATTTCTTCCCCTTTGGAGGAAGGGAGCTAGAGAGACTTTGGCAACATCCAGAAATGGTCTCTGCGGAGAGAGGGGAGGGTTTCTAGGTCACCACTCTGGAATGTAAACCAATGCGTCTGGAGAGGGAGAACTCCAGGGTGTCTATTTTTGTACTGGAATGTTTGTGTCTTTCCCCAAACCCAAGTGCTAAAGCTTTAATCCCCAAATTGGTGATACTGGGAGGTGAGCAGAGCCTCATGAATGAGCTGCATGTATTTGTAACAGAGGGCAATGAGCTTGCTCCTGTTGCCCCCAGTGTGTGGCCACAGTACGGCACCTTCTCTGAACAGGAAGCAGACCCTTGGCAGACATGGAGTCTGCTGGTTTGCAGTCTCCTCAGCTTCTGTAACTAAGAAAATAATGTGGATTATTTATATGACACCTGTCTATGGTAGACCTTTGTAGCCCCCAAATAGACCAAGCCTCTTCATCGCCAATCATCCAGAATCCAAGTGCCAGTGCTGGTTGTTCAGAATTCTCCACATGACGAAATAAGAAAATATTTATAAAGCATTTTGTCTCTGTATGAACATTTTGAAAATCTGTGAACAGTTGAAAGTAGAGCATGCAGTAAAGTGAGGAAAGAGTGAAGATGGAATGAAGGATTCGTATGTATGTACAGCTCTGGGTCCTAGTTTGACCAGCCCTAAACAACCATTGTAGTTTATTGCTATTGTGGTATGTTATATACATGATATTGTGAGCTTGCCTTATGCTAATAGGGGTAATTCTATTTCCCATCATTTCTTCCTTTCTCCCTTCCATCTTCCCTCCCATTTTGAGAAGCAGCATTACAGCAGACATCCACTTTGTAGTATACACCGTGCTACATATAGGAAAATGGTGGCTATTGATATGGGCATAGCCATGAAGACTAGGGCCTAGTGTCAGAGGCCATTCATAAACTATGATTAAAAATAATTTCCTACAGTTTTCCAGTTACCACAAAGCAGCCCATGGCACTTTCCAGGTCTATTCTTCTTGTTATACATTGACCTGAAAACACAGGGAGGCGGTCTAATTTGAATTTCAGATAGCTAATCAGATTCTCAAATATTGTGTGAAGCATACTTAAGCCAAACTGAAAGGTTATTCATGGTTTATCTGAAATTTGAATTGGTTCCTCGATTTTATCCATTTGGGAGAGAGTAAAGGAATGCTACTCTTATGAAGTAACATCTAAACCAGGACCTGAAAAGTGAGTTGTGTTACCCAGGTTGAGGTACGGCATTGAGATCTGGGGGCCAAGAGAAGGACTCTCTGTGGAAGTGGGAAGGATCTGGCAATCCTAGTTACTGTTCTTGGAATGTCAGATTAAAAAGAAGTGGCACTCAGAAGCCAGAAAGTCAGGGACTGTCAGCAAGGATAAGATGTTAACTGTTCAACAGCTTGGGAAGGGGTAATACAACCGGGCTCTTGTCCAGAGGCTAAAATGAGCTGCCCAATGGCCTTAAGTTGGTCTGTTCATGTCTCTGGTTTGTATTTTCTTCTAAAGAAAATTGTCTCGAAGGAGAGGCAAGAAGACAGATTCTAAAGAATTCACTGGTGGTGGTGCTGGGGGAGTGGAATCAAGGGCATTAGGGTCTTCAAGATCAGGGAAACTGGGCTCCGACAAGACACTGATCCTAAAAAGCAGGAAGTACAAGGCACTTTGGGATAAGACGGTTTTGGGGTCAAAGCCTGACTCTCCAACTTGTTTGCTGTAAACAAGTAAACCATTTTCTAAACTTCCACATTCTTAGGCATAGGATGAGATCAAAATCTTCCTCAATTATTGCCAGGATTTTCAATGACATGACTAGAATCTTAAAGCTGGTACAGAAGGAAGAGTCTATCCAATGATATGCTTCTGTAGATTGGTTCCATGTTCATTGCTTTTTAAGAATTTAGACACCTTTGACAGGAGGTTAGAGAGTTAAGGAGAAGAGAAATGGCTGTTCTGTGTACATGAGAGGCAGTTTTTGGCCATAGTTGTCTCTAGTCCCAGCCTTTGAATTTTGTTGTGTCCATTCTGGAGAAGGTATGGCTTTGAAGAAGATACAGGGGAATTCAAACAACAGATGCTCTGAGGCCTTGAGACTGAAGTGTCACACATTGGAAAGTTTTGGTGGAGAAAGTCGGGGACCCTGAGTTTCAAAGTTCCCTCTCTACTCAGATTACATCCAGAGGTCCCTGCTAAAATGTTATCTCATTCAAATAACTGCTGTTTGGTTAGGCAAATAGTTGTAAAAGCAGCTATTAAGCAGCTTACATTTTAGTTAAAGACAGAAGCAAACAGATACATTCAACAGATAGCAAGTGTACTCTTCCAGAAATCAGCAAATGCCTGAGAATCCCATACCAGGCAGGAGAGGACCCTGAATGGACTTCAGTTTCTTGCCTCAAAATAAGCCATGAAGCTTTCCCTAGTCATGGACTGTGGTAGGGTAGGGGCTAGGTCCGTTTTTCTCCATTCTTTCTAGAAGGTACAGCCAGTTAAGGCCATGCAGATGGTCTGAAATTTAATTTCTGCACTCCTTCAGACACAGGAAACAAATGTTAAGAGCTTGCAATGATAGTTGGCATTTGATAAATGTTGGTTGTACTGATTGTCTAATGACTCAGTGCTGGGTAGATAGAAAAACATCTAATAGAATATTTGATACATTCAGATGGCCTAAGAAGTACATATTCATTGTGGTGCTAACTTTTTTTTCCCAGCAAAGATGAACGTTTGTGGATCCATCCGCAACTGAATCTAGCCTACACTTTTGTGAAGCAAATGGCCATATTAGGAAAGAAATGGGTGGCTGAGACTAGACAGGCTAATACTTTTAACAATGGTGATATCTGTGGCTGAAGCTGAAAAGACAGAATCCAGAATGAGGAGAACGTAAGCATTTATAACTTGGGTTCTTATGAAATACTTGGTTTAAAATGACCAGGATTTAGTGCCTTTAGACAATTTGCTCTTTGTTCCTCTTTTTAAAGAAGGAGGCAAGCCTGAGAAAACAATCCAGTATAAAGGACT